CCTCAACGCAGGAAGATCAGGATGGGCAGTGAATTGCATCCTCATTCCTGCAACTTGGCCCTATGGGACATGAAGGCAGTTGCTCTGGAAACTGATATTGCATGCTTTCTTAGAGCAGCCACTGTGACTCCTCATTGTAGTTGCCTGGATGGTGCTGTTCTCTAGGTGCCCCCTCAGAGGTAGAGATCAGGTGGGTGGCTTCACCAGAAAACCTGCCTGCGGACAGATTAGATAAAATGCCTAAGAAGGATGCCTGGGGGTTGGACTGGATGACTTTTGTGGTCTCTCCAACTCTACATTTCTGTGAATCTATGATTCTGCAGAAAGCCAGGTAGGCATGAAGGCTCCATCCTGCAGGTCCTTTCATAAGCGACATCTACACTGTAGAATTAATGCAGTTCAATAGCACTTTAACTGCCATGGGTCAATGCTATGGAATTCTGGCATTTGTAGTGTGGTGAGGCACTTGTACTCTTTGGCAGAGAAGGCTCAAAATGTAAAACTACAACTTCCATGATTTCATGGCACTGAAGCATCACAGGTCAAGTGGTGTCAAACCACATTAATTCTACAATAGAGATGTACCCGTACATTAATGTTTTTAGTCAGCATTGAAATGAGAAAAAGGAAATGCGATGGCACGAATGGTATGGAGGAAGATAAGGGGAATGCAGCAATAGGACACTTTGCATTGCTGCTGGGTAAAAAAAAAATTAAGCAAACTAACAATTGCAGGAAAGTACTGGGGCCTATTTGGGGAACAACCTGAAGCATAGTGATTGCACTAAGTGAGTGTGAGTGAGTGTAAGCAAGTATACGAATGAATATACTGAGAAACACAGCTGGAGGTGCCACGAAATAGCAGCAGCAATCACAGTCAATGCCAAATCAGAACCTGTACCTTTGAGAGGAAGGAAGACCAATCGCTGTTCACATCTGCCAGCCTTTGACAAACTGAAATCCAGGTTACAGTCTGATGCTTTCAAAGTAAACCCCCATCCTTTGGAGAAAGGAAAACAAAACAACCCCCTCCCCAGAAGCAGCCTTGTGGCATTCGTGTGGGTTGCTGGAGTGTTTTTTTTAAAACACTACTAGTCATAATAGTAATGAAATATTAAAATCTCCCAGTGCACCTCTAGGTTGATGCAAAATTATCCCAATTTGCATGGGGTTGGGAGGCAGGCGGCTGAGTCAACAGCACACAAGGAGATTGGGCTGATTAATTATGAATTAGGACAAATTGGCGGCCTGCTACTCAGTAATCTATGTAAATAAGGACGATAATACCGTGAGTGGCTGTGCAAACAGGAGCTTGCTAGGGAAAGATCCCTGCAGTGGTGGGTCAGGGGAGACTTTGTGGTGCTATTCATTTTTATGGGGTGTCAGCATGAAATTTACATGGGCAATGAGGTGCCAGTCTGTCATGGGCTGCTCTGCTTAAACTGATGCCAGATGCCCCCTTTGGTCAACTAACCTCCCCAAAAGTGGGTAGGTGAGGAATGCATTGCAGGAGGCAAAGGGGAATGACTGGGAAATTGAATAACAGGCAGAGTGTCCCTCCTGTTTGCCCGTCTGTCTGTGTAGTCATCTCAAAATGTAAAACCAACAAGGGTTGTCTTTTATTATTAATGCAATCACTTAGCATTCTGGGATACTTCTCTTCCTCTCTCGGTATATTTACACTCAGTGCTTAAATTGTGGAATGAAAAGAAGGGGAACCTTAGATCAACTGCTCCAATTCTGCCAATTCTAGCTAAGTAATGAACCCCCCAAACTTTCTATAAACAGGACTTAAAGAGGTAAAGAGCAAAAATGATCTCTACCCCTGTGATTTTTGCATTTTGTGTGACAAATAAGATGTCACCTGATAACACTGTTTCACATGCTATTCTGATCTGTGAGATCCCCAACTCTCTTATCCCCATGTGCCAGAAATCAGTACCATAGCAGTGCCCATTACCTACACCTGCATTTTTTTTCTGGAAATTCACCATGGACTGACAACCAATAACTTATCAGGCAAAACTGGTCAATGGACAACCAGTCTGAATAGGCTTGCTTTATGGAACAATTAGGAGCCTTCAGTGGTGCAATGGGTTAATCTCTTGTGCCGGCAGGACTGCTGACCAAAAGGTCAGAGGTTCGAATCCGGGAAGCAGGGTGAGCTCCCATCTTTCAGCTCCAGCTCCTCATTCAGGGACATGAGAGAAGCCTCCCATAGAATGGTAAAACATCCAGGAGTCCTTGCAGACAGCCAGTTCCCTCACACCAGAAACGACTTGCAGTTTCTCAAAAGGTCAGAGGTTCGAATCCGGGGAGCGGGGTGAGCTCCCGGTTGTCAGCTCCAGCTTCCCATGTGAGGACATGAGGGAAGCCTCCCACAGTATGGTAAAATATCTAGGTGTCCCCTGGGCAACGTCCTTGCAGATGGCCAATTCTCTCACACCAGATCTCTCACACCAGTTTCTCAAGTCGCTCCTGACATGGAAAAAATGGAACAATTGCATCTCCAGAACAGGCAGTGCATTATTTAATGAAAAGAAAATAAGAGGAATTAAAATATTTAGTGGAAATAATCTAGAAACATACGATAGAATAAACTTCAGATATATTGCCATTGTTAAATATTTTGATTTAAAAATAATCTAATGTTTACACAAGGTCCACACTTTTCCACCGTGGACCAGTCCATCAGTTCATTTTGAACACTCTTTATCATCAAACTCCAATTACAGTTCAGGGTTGGCTTCTGAAAAGTCAGAACAGGTAAGAACTTCTGAAATTCCTTTTGATTTCCGCATTATTCAGGTTGAGTTTAGCCATCATGGTCCCAAACTCACACTCCAAATAAGTTTCTGGTGAAAGCCTCAAATCTGAGTATCTCATCGCCAATTCATAAATGAGAATCATTTATAGTTGAGGAGAAGGCAACCAGTTGTCCTCCAGATATTTTTGGACTCCCTAGAGACCAGACAGCATGGCCAGTGGCTATGGGTGATAGGACCTGTGGTCTGAGAATAATGGGACATCCTCCTGTTCCCTCTCCCTGAATTAGATGCAAAGTATATCTACCGGAACAGACATAAGATCCAATGCAGCTTTTGCCTTGGAATCCCATAGTATCTTGAATAGTTTCTATTGTCTTTTCATTCCCACTCCCATAACATCCTTTCTTTCTGTGTTGCGTCTGTGGACGTGGTGAGGATAGAAATCTCACAAAGACTTTAGCACTCAAGCACTCGGCTTTGATTCTGATGCAGATGCTGCCACCTGGTGCTCCAGCGCCTTTCTTAGGAAAAGAGCATCCACTGACTTTAATTTAGAAGAATACAAAACAGGTTACTGGTCACTAAGACTGTGCTAAACCCCCTAAAGGTACCAAATCGCACCTGACCTTGGGAGCTATGGAAGTTCAGCTCTGGTTAGTACTGGGGTGGGAATCCACCACAGAATACCAGGTCCCGTGGACTGTATTTCAAAATACAAAACTGGCAGAACCACTCCTGAGCATTCATTGCCCAAGAAAACTGTAAAATTCATTGAACCATTAAGTCAACAGGCAGTTTAAAGGCACTTATATACCTAGACACACATTGAGTACCATGTTGCCCATATTTATAATAGGCACTGCTTTCAAACATTGACCAAACAAATTCATCTTAAGAACAAACCTACAGAACCTATCTTGTTCGTAACTTAGTGACCGCCTGTATAGGAATCACTGTTTCTTTTTCAGGAAGCTACGACTGAATGGTCAACTTTCAGAACAGTTTACCAGATATAAGTGCACTCTGATTTGGGATATACATTGTTGGCATTCATTTTTTGATTTATACGTAAGGAAATAATATTTTAAATCAATTTCATTTAAAATCAGACCAATCCTGCTTTCATTTAAAATCAGATCAATCCCTATTGCGATGCCACATTGGGTTAAACCCTTGTGTCGGCAGGACTGCTGACCGACAGGTCGGCGGTTCAAATCCGGGGAGCAGAGTGAGCTCCCGTCTCAGCTCCAGCTCCCCATGCGGGAACATGAGAGAAGCCTCCCACAGGATAGTAAAATATCAACCATCCGGGCATCCCCTGAGCAATGTCCTTGCTGACGGCCAATTCTCTCACGCCAGAAGCAACTTTCAGTTTCTCAAGTAGCTCCTGACACACACAAAAATGTGTTTAAACCCATCTTCAAAATACACTTTTTCTGGAAGGTCTTTTGAACTAGAGTGAACAATTACTGAGGGCCTCAGTTGCATTCCCATCCCTCTCAACCTATGAGGATTAAGCTGAAGAGGAGCCTGTCCCATTGAAATTCAGAGCTGCAGGAATAGTGGCAACTTTCCTGCCTTCAAATGAATCTCTTTTTAGACCAAGGGGGCTGGTGTCTCGTTCTAAATCTGATTAGCACCCCTAGGATTCTAGAAGTCGGGTCCTGAAAGCAAACCCCAGAAGTTACCAAAGGTCCATTGTATCATTTTTCCTTTTTCTCCTTTTATCTCCTATAGATTTAAGGAAACCTTTAGTCCTGCCTTCAACCTTGTGCTTTCCAGATAGGTTTAATAGCCTTTCCAATCACTATGCTGTTCAGGATCTGTTGGTAATTGCAGTTAAAGACATCTGGGGTTTTGGGAAAGCTTGTGTGAAATGGAAAAGGGAAATGTTCTGTCCAACTGTTTCTGCTCAGAAGTAGTGAAACACGTTACCCTAAATTCCAATCCAATGAGTGGCAGTAACTTTAAAATGAATGAATGTCAAGAATAGAGAAGCATAAGCACCAATGACTATCAGTATACTATATCACTGTGATAAATACAAATAAATTGCATCAGAATAGATACCGAACTCATAGTATTTGTTTCTCCTCCCTACAAAAGCTTTTCAGTACAGCCCTGCCTCTACTGCTATCAGGGAGCGCCATGGTGCCCTTTGCCCAGTCCTCTCCTCTCCCCTTCCTGAGATAAATTCTGTGCCCAATCCCTTGCATTCCCCATGGGAAATCAAAGTCCACTTTCGCTATCCCTAGGAGACCAAAGGTCTTCATTGCTGACATGAGCAAGCCAGTTGAGGCTGCCGACACTCCTGTGAAATGAGCTACTAAGGTATGTGATTACGGTTCTGGAAGACTGTTCGTTGGCATATAGGAAGCTACTTTGAACTTAACTGGGCCACTGAACCATGTAAATTATTTTTGCCTATACCGTAGTTACATTGCCTAGCAATGACTCTCTGTGGTTTCAGATAGGAACCTTTAGTATTATGAGATGCCAAGGATTACTCTTGGGGTCTTGTCCATGCAAGGCAGATACTCTGTTACTGCTTGGACCCGATACTGCTCAGATTTCCCCTGTTGGTCCACTAAATATTAAGCTGAGTTTAGCTAGATTCAGCATAAGAGAGGCTTGGAGAGTGCTGAGAATGTATATCATCGTAGCTAAGAAATCCCTTATCTTGAAAGAGATGAGCCATAACAAGGCACAGAAGTATCTCTCAAAACACAATGTCAGGAGAATCAAGGTGACATTGGGAACACGTAATAGCTTAGAGCTGATTATTAATGTAGAAATGCTTAGGGTAGGATTTGGAGCCCCAGTTCTGTTACTGGCCACACTGGTCCTGAGAGCATCAAAATGGTGCAAAAATATAAGAAATCAAAATTAGAAGTGACTGGATTAGCATTTTCCATTCTGATCTTGGATGTTGAAGAGGGTCATAATTATACCTCACCTGTCAGAATGCAAAACATGGCTTGTCTCCTCCCATCTAATTATATATAAGCCCTCTTTTTGATGATTTTGGTTGGTGAGTAAAGGTGGCAGGCAACAAAGGAAGTCTTGAAGCCGCATGCAGCACCTTGTACCTAGTTACTGTATGACAAGCATTTGGAAGCTAGGAAAGATGTGGAAGTGATTTGCAGACACACTTATAGAGGGTAGAAGTGGTAGACACAGAGAACTAGTCTCTTGTCCATTCTACCTCTTTTTTTGTCTTCATGTCTTTTTTCTCCTCTCCTTAACTAGCCATAGCATCCTACTTGTATCTCTACCTCCAGAAATTGTTCCTATAAGAAACATTTAATTAAGATGGTCTTGCCACCCATCTCCTTGCGTGTTCAGAAGAAAGGATGTGAGATGCTACCAAGAGCCTGTGGCGTGTTGACAGCCTGACCCTGCCACTTTAATGGGCCCAGTTTAAGTTTTCTGCATGCTGCTACCTTTTGCTATTCCTTCCTTCTCAGGACTCCTGCCAGTCAGCAAGATGTGCTGCCTTTCACAGTGATGGCCAAGCGACTTCTAGTGGCTGTTGCCTTCTGGGCTCTGGGTGGCCCTGTTGGACTCCACCATCTTTACCTGGGTCGGGATAACCATGCGCTTCTGTGGATGCTGACTTTGGGAGGCTTTGGTATTGGTTGGCTGTGGGAGTTGTGGATGCTGCCTGGTTGGGTGGCACAGGCCAACCATCCTCAGGAGAAATGCTATAAGAATCCCCCAAGTTTCAACCCTGTGCGCTTCCTTGGCCAAGCCTTGGTAGGCATCTACTTTGGGTTAGTGGCCCTTGTTGGTCTCTCAACTCTACCCGGCTTTTACATTCTGGCTCTCCCTCTGGCTGTGGGCCTTGGAGTTCACCTGGTATCTGCAGTGGGCAACCAAACCTCCGATCTTCAGGCTACACTGATGGCTGCTTTCATAACTGCACCCATCTTCTATGGCCGTGCTTTGGCCATCTTGCCCATCAGTCTCACCACGAGTATGACAGCCCAGAGACACCGGCGCTACAGAGTTACCAAAGCTACCCACGAGAAGCTTAGTGCCCGACTCTATAGGTTGGGCCTGGCCTATTTGGCTTTTACAACACCATTAGCCTACAGTGCCTTCTACAACACAGCTGCTACTGCCACCTATGTAGCCAGCACTATTGGAACTGTGCTGGATTGGCTCAGTGTATTTCCATCGCTGTCAGGCATCCTGGAGTCAGTTCTTCTCCTACCTTACCATGCCTGGAAGATGCTGGGTTTCAGTGGTGGTACCTTCAAAGATTGGGAGAAAGTTTTTGTTTTCGTGCAATCTTTCCAGAGCGAGAGGCAGCGGATGGCATACAAGGTACATAGCATTATCATACTGCTCAATTTATTATTCTTTCTACGAATAGCTAACTTTCCAGGTACCCCAATTTGCTAATTTCCAGCTGCTTTTATAATGTCTCACTGTCCCATTTTCTCCTTTGTCTTTAGTTTCCTTCAATTGCTGCAAACTGAGTTCCAAGTGGAAAAACAGTTTGCACTGAATCAGCATAGGAGAGAGGCTAAGGAAAGGGGAATCTTGCCTTTCCTTGGAGACTCAGACAAAAGCAAGCCTCTCCCAGCTTGTGTGTTCTTTCTCATAACTTTGTCACCTTGACCATGACATGATATTTATTTATTTATTTATAACATTTATATGCTGCCCTTCTCACCCCGAAGGGGACTCAGAGCGGCTTACAAGTAATCTACAATACAATAAATAAAATAAATACAATATCTTCCTGGACCCCTCTTTACTCTGGTCCCAGAGTAGCAGTTAGTGTTGGTTAGTTACACACGTCCTGGATTTCATCTGTGAAATGTTGGAGCATATCTTATAGAAAACTGGACAAGACAAAAATGGAGTCTGTAAACTCTGCATTAGGACCTCATCAGATGGGGCTTGGAAGCGTCCTAGGATGCTGCCCATCCCATGATGTTGGACTTCTGGCGGAAGCCCCATCCACAATTGGAGTGGAAGCATCATATGATGGAGCCAGCACAAATCCTCGCCACTTGGGTGACACTTCCCACATGTGATGGGGAAGCATCACTGCGAGGGAGCAGCACATGGGATGACCCATTTGCCCCACTGCCCCTTTGTCTCTTTGGTGAAGCAGGACACTTTGCCTGGCTCATGTGATAAGGTTGTTAGGGAGGACCCTTCTGTTTCCTTTCAGGATGGAGAAGTGCAGGCATTAGAAACGTTAATTTTTTTAGCCTACCAGTCCCTGAATTCCCTAACCAAAATGGCCCATGATTGTGTCAGCCAAAAAAGTAACTTTTCCAAGTGCCAGACTTTGGTAGATTTAACTAATTACAAGTGGAATTGAGAGATACAAAGCCAAAAGTTCTGGATGTGAGAAAGGGGCTTTTAAAAGTTGCTACTTTATTTAGACCTGAAATTTTTAATGCAGTCCTTTCCCCAAACAACACAGAGCAATGACATACATAGTTCATCCTTCTATTATAACCTCACAATGGCCATGTGGTATAGGTTAGACTGAAAAATGCAGTAATTGATCCAGGACCAACCAGTGCATTGAGCAAAGGGTTAACCTTGGCTGAAAATTTAACAGGAAATTTTCCCTCTCCAGTGAGGGGGTTTAACTTGCTACTACCACCACAATTTATTATTTATATAGCACAATGGATATATTTGGCATTTTTCCAAGAAGACATTGGGGTTGGCAAACTTTGTGTGCCTATACTAAGTGGCAATTAGTGCTACCCTCTAGGAATTTAGGTACATCATTGTCATGCTAATTTATTGTTCATTCACATCCATTTTCTGCTTGCATTACATAGTCTTTCCTTTGTTCTCAACTGCTGTCACACCCCTCTCACCTCCCACCCTCCTCCTTCTCCATGAATCATGTATGATAGGTGCTCTCTCTTGGTGAGATGCTTCAACTCTCCTGATGCATCATCTTTAGTCAACTCTCTATATTTGCTGGAGTTAAGGGCACAGAACCCCTGTGAAAATGAAAAAACAATGAAAAAAATAGCTATTTTTTAACTCAAGTGAACACCTTTCTAGGCATTTCTAGGTCCTGAAGCATGACTCTATAATCAACTTCCACTGGAAGCTGGCCATAAAATAACTTTGGGGACCTAGAGATTCTTACCAAGGTGTTATCTGTAAAAAAAAATTGCTAGGTTTTCTAGCATGACTGGAGGAAGTTGTCTGTAGAATCAACAATTGTGGACCTAGAGATTCTTCTAAAGCAGGGGTCCTCAAACTATGGCCGCAGACAGGATGTGGTCCTCTGAGGTAATTTACCTGACCCCCACTCTAAACTTTAGACTTAAGTCTGAAATGACTTGAAAGCACACAACAGCAATCCTGATTGATTTGATTGTCCCATCAGCCAAAAGCCCACACTTCCCATCAAAATGTATGTTGGTTAAACTGTTCTTCATTTAAAATATTTAATTTTTCTTTCTTTTTTTTCTTTTTTGCACTACAAATAAGATATGTGCAATGTGCATCGGACTTATTCATTTCCTCCCCAAACTGTAGTAAAGTTTGAGGGCCCCTGGTCTAGAAAGACAATCAAATTCTTAAAGTCAAAACTGCAAATGTGGGGGGACAATTATAGTATTCTTTCTTTACTTACCTTTCATCAAGAAGATGAACCTGTGTTGGTTATGACAACGTACTATTATGTACATTCTGCTAGATATTGTATGAAACGTGGAGAGAGGTAGTGAGCTGTTCAAACTTCCTCCCAGTGCCCTGGATGCTCTTTGTGAGAGATGATAACGATGATGATGATGATGATGATGATGATGATGATGATGATGATATTCTGCATCCCCTCTCCCACAGGAGACTCAAAGCAACTAACACTAAAAATCCTAAAATATTTAAATCAAAACCCTAAGCATACAAACATTAAAATAGAATTAAGCACAGAGCCTGTTACAAATACACAGTTAATACCAGTAAAACAATTTGTACAAAACATAGCACCCCCTTACTCGATATTAAAAACTTTTTTTCTTTGAAAGCCTGTTTAAAAAGAAAGGTTATAGTCTACCATGGGAAGGACAGCAGTGAGGGGATCCTAGGCAGAGATGTCAACAAATATGCTCGTTTTATTAGAACCTCCTATGGTAAAGGTAGAGGTTTTCCCCTGACATCAAGTCCAGTCGAGTCCGACTCTGGGGGCTGGTGCTCATCTCCATTTCTAAGCCGAAGAGCCGGCGTTGTCCGGAGACACCTCCAAGGTCATCTGGCTGGCATGACTGCATGGAGCACCATTACCTTCCCACCGTAGCAGTACCTATTGATCTACTCACATTTGCACGTTTTCGAACTGCTAGGTTGGCAGAAGCTGGGGCTGACAGCAGGATCTCATGCTGCTCCCCAGATTCAAACCTGCAACCTTTTGGTCAACAAGTTCAGCAGCTCAGTACTTTAACTCACTGCGCCACCCGAGGCTCCCTATAATGAGCTTAATTATAGAACCTCCTATAATGAGGTTAATATGGACATGGAAACAAGAAAGGAAGGGTGGAGGAAGGAGAAGAGTTAGTGATTATTTTGCAAACCTGATGGGTCCCTGCTGACACTCTTGCTGCATCAATACATTCTTGTGATAGTGATGTCAACTGAGTAAGCGCTACTTTCCCTTAAATTTGCTGGTGCTCTGCTAACATTTTCAAACAACACACTTCCACATTAAAACAAGTTTTGAAATAATCTTCCAGAAGTATCCTAGAAGTCCTTATTAGCTTTAGACCAACTCCCCCCCCCCCCCTTGTTCTAAAGAGAGATTCATTTAAAGGTAGGAAAGTTGCACTATTACTGCAGCTCTGAATTTCAGTGGGGATGAGTCAAGGGCATGCTTCTCTTCACTTTAACTCTCATAGGTTGAGAAGAATGGGAACACAACAGAGACAGAGCCTCCTGAAAAGGAAGTGTTGATTCCTATACATTCTTTGGAATCTCCTCCTGCAGCACAGAGAGTGTGGGGTGTGTGTGTGCTTCTTTTTGGACGGAGTAAGCAGTCAGTTCAGGCATATCCTTCTTACTTTCCATGCCCCAGCAGGATATGCCCAAGAACCCTATCACAGCATGCCTCTAAGCCAGAGATTTCTAAACATTTCATGTCGGTGACACATCTTTTAGAGATGCATCATTTCATGACACAGTTGCACAATTTTACAAGCAAACTAGAGGTTAAACCAGCCCCTTATAAGAAATAGGGACACGTGCATATCTTGAAATAATGAAATGCATGGAGACACAACATATATCATTAAAATCTTGAATTTATATTTTAAAATATAGGATTTATTGCTTATTTCACATAACACTCTTAGATTTATTATTATGTCCATGCGACTCACCTACACACTGCATCCGACACACAAACGTGTCATATCATACAGTTTGGAAAGCTCTGCTCTAAGCTGTACCCTTGAATTATCCACATGTCATATGAAAATCCATGATTTTGTCCCCAAATCTGCCCTGGCTTATACACAAGGTTGATTTATACACAGATATATATGGTAAATTGCTTCTCTGAAGGATTCAATTTTAATGATTAAATTACAGCTTAAGCCACTAGCGAGAAAGATTCTGCTTAATCACCATTTTCTGTTGAAGTACATGATTGTACAGCCTTATTATTCTGAGAGGTAAGCTCACACTAAGTAATTGTTTTCTGATTCAGTCAGAATGAGTTTGAAGTTAATTTTGAATTCATAAAAATTGGGATCCCTTGCATTTATATCCAGACGTCTTCAGTTCTACTTCATCTCCCCAAATTCTCTCCTTATTGATCTTCTCTCTGTGTGCTTAGAGAGACAAGAACTATGCGCTTCAAGTACACAATGGATCTCACATCACCATAAAACACTGTTAACATATTTATAGAATATAACTAGAAATTGTACTATTAGCATTCATACTGATACTGACATATGGTCTTTTAAAAATAAGTTTGAAGTTTGATTAAAAACTGAATTTTATTTTTATTTACTCATTCATTTCTATTACTCTATTTACATGGAAGGGTTCCAAGAGGCAATTCCAGGCATAACAGGCAGCAATAAAGATCATGCTGAGTTAGCTAGAGAGTCAGGACTTACTTTGCCTGAGCAGGCTGAATATCCCTTTTTTGGAATTCCAAAAATTTGAAATACTCCAAAATCCAAAATAATAATAATAATAATAATAATAATAATTATTATTATTATTATTATTATTATATTTATTTATTTATTCCCTGCTTTATCTATCTTGAAGTAGACTCAAAGTGGCTTAACATAAAAGCATTAGCATACAATTTAAAATATGCAACTATACAAACATTCAAACAGAACTAAATATAAACAGTATTAAAATTCAGAATTAAAATCCATTAAAATATATTCAGAATTAAAATTGTCCACATGAATGTCTGAGATACTGACACCTTTGTTTTTTGATGGTTCAATGTACACAGACTTTGTTTTATGCACAGAATTATTTAAAATATTGTGTATAAAATTACTTTGGAGCTGTGTGTATAAGGTGACTATGAAAGATAAATTAAGTTTTCATTTTGTCTTGGATTCCATCTCCAAGAAATGTTATTATGCACATATATCAAAATAAAGGGATTCCAGAATCTAAATAAATAAATAAACCCAAAATCCAAAACACCCAATCCCAAGTATTCTTTTTTTTTCATGTCAGGAGCAACTTGAGAAATTGCAAGTTGCTTCTGGTGTGAAAGAATTAGCTGTCTGCAAGGATGTTGCCCAGGGGACGCTCGGATGTTTGATGTTTTACCATCCTTGTGGGAGGCTTCTCTTATGTCCCCAAATGGGGAGCCAGAGCTGACAGAGGGAGCTCATCCTTGCTTTCCCTGGGTTTGAACCGCTGACCTATCGGTCAGCAGTCCTTCCAGCACAAGGGTTTCACCCATTGCGCCACCAGAGGTTCAGTATTTAGAATAAGGGATAGTCAATCTGCAGTTCCCAGTCAGTGGTACAGAACATGTTTGCATGGTATCCATGCGGCAAGGCAGCTGAAAAAATGGGGAGGTGGCAGGTGCTTTATCCACATGACAAACTTAGGCTGAGATAGAAGTCATGAGTAAAAAAAAAAGGGATTATTTTCCCCCCTGAAGCATGGCATACTCAAGGGGCATCTGAAAATTGGGAGGCTAAATCTAGACAAGACAGAGGTACTCCTGGTCAGTCGTAAGACTGAATAGGGTACGGGGTTACAGCCTGTGCTAGACGGGGTCACACTCTCCCTAAAAGCTCAGGTACGCAGTCTGGGAGTTCTCCTGGATTCATCGCTGAGCCTGGAACCCCAGGTCTCAGCGGTGGTCAGGGGAGCTTTCGCACAATTAAAACTTGTGCGCCAGCTGCGTCCGTACCTTGGGAGGGCTGACTTGGCCACGGTAGTACACGCTTTGGTTACATCCCGCTTAGATTACTGCAACGCTCTCTACGTGGGGTTGCCTTTGAAGACTGCCCGGAAGCTGCAGCAAGTCCAACGCGCGGCAGCCAGATTACTAACTGGGGCTGGGTACAGGGAGCACACCACTCCGCTGTTACGCCAGCTCCACTGGCTGCCAATTAGCTTCCGAGCACAATTCAAAGTGCTGGTGTTGACCTATAAAGCCCTAAACGACTCCGGCCCTGTTTACCTCTCCGAACGTATTCTCCCCTATGAACCATCAAGATTATTAAGATCGTCTGGAGAGGCCCTGCTCTCGGTCCCACCGGCCTCGCAAGCGCGCCTGGTGGGGACGAGGGACAGGGCCTTCTCGGTGGTGGCCCCGCGACTCTGGAACTCTCTCCCTCTGGAGGCCAGAACCGCCCCATCCATCCTAACATTTAGGAAACGGGTGAAGACGTGGCTGTGGAGTCAGGCCTTCGAGGAATGAGAGAACACCATAGGACCCTGGATGGAAGTTGATGTAGATCCATCTTAATAGGACGACTGACCACAGTAGTTTTAGACATAGTGTTATTTTAAAGTTTTTGTAATTGTGATATATGATATTTTAATGAATGTATATGTTTTTATGGCTGTAAACCGGGCTGAGTCCCTCAACGAGGTTGAGAAGCTCGGTATACAAAACTCTGAAATAAATAAATAAATAAATTGTTTCTCTTCCCCCCTCCTCTTTCCTTTTAGGTCTTAGGCATCCATGATGATGCCACACTTGAAGAAATCAACAAGAGCTACCGGGATCTAGTGAAGCTTTGGCATCCAGATCACAATCGGCACCAAATGGAAGAAGCAGAGAAACGTTTTATTGAGGTGCAGGCTGCCTATGAGCTCCTCATGGAGATGAGGAAACACAAAGCTGTATGACTGGGTGCAATAACTTTCTTGCCCTTATATATTTGGGAACCAAAGTGTAACTTTTGAAGCTTCATTCACAGAGTAAAAGGTGGGGGTCTTCTTTGGAGACAGAGATATTTGTTTTCAGCTGCTGGCTGGAGGCTCTGGGACCTATAAAATAAATTGTCCAAGCTCCACCTGGAACATAGAGGATACACAGACTGTCACAAACCAGTTTGTTCATATACCAGCTTTCTATTTGCCAAGAATGTCAAGGATGAAATAAAGTAGTAATTTAAAGAGAGCAATGTTTTCCAATCCACTGTATCTGTTATCTGAAAATTTTGCAATACTTTAGACTAGCATGAACCTTCTCTTCACCTTTCTCTTCAGGTTGCCCATCCTTTGACACAGGAAAATAATGAGTACTGTCAATCTTTGTTTTTCTATAGAGGATATTTGTACTGAAGGGTATGGGCTGCTTTTATTGAGCTGTTAACACTCTGCTGGCATGAACTATCTATTCTGACTTCAGAACCCTGTAAAGAACTAGGCAAGTACCATTTATTTTTGTTGATAGCAGTTTAAAACATGTATGTTTAATGTTTAATTTCTATTAATTCTCATTACTAATTTGTTATGAGAACTGTTTTAGGTGTATTTCTAAGCCCCCGTGAGAAATTTTGTACTGAAAAGACCAGATTCAGATTCTTTAAAGAGATAAGTAGTTATTCTTGGAGTTGTGGTTTAGTATGCAGTCTACAAGAAAACATGACTCACTGGAAAATCCAATAGTGCTGGGAAAGGTTGAAGGCAATAGGAAAAGTGGAATACTACATAGAATCATAGAGTTGGATGAGACCTCGTGGGCCATCCAGTCCAACCCCCTGCCAAAAAGCAGGAAAATCATATTAAAAGCACCCCCAAAAGATGGCCATCCAGCCTCTGTTTAAAAGCCTCCAAAGAAGGAGCCTCCACCACACTCCAGTGTAGATAGTCACTGCTGATAAGCTCTCACAGTCAGGAAGTCCTTCCTGATGTTAAGGTGGAATCTCCTTTCCTGTAGTTTGAAGCCATTGTTCCACATCCTAGTCTCCTGGGCAGCAGAAAACAAGCTTGCTCCCTCCTCATGACTTCCCCTCAACATATTTATACATGGTTCACATCATGTCTTCTCTCAGCCTTCTCTTCTGCAGGCTAAACATGTCCAACTCTTGAAGCCGCTCCTCATAGGGCTTGTTCTCCAGATCCATTGATCATTTGAGTCACCCTCCTCTGGTCACATTCCAGCTTGTCAACATCTCCCTTCAATTGTGGTGCCCAGAATTGGACACAGATTTATTATAATCCATCCATTATAGATTGATTAACTCAATTAAAGACTCAATCTCTGAGTCTGTAAGAGCCAAGTTATTTATTTATTCAGGAGAGAATGCCTCTAGAACATGGCCATATAGCCCGAAAAAAACAACCCTACAACAACCCAATTTTCAGGTTCTTTTCATGAAGATATTCTGTTCTGTTCTGCAAGCCACTTCCATCCTCTACAAGTGCTAGTGATTTTTTTTTCCCTTTCTTGATGCCTTCTTAATTGACAACTCAATACCATGGGACAATTGCATTGACGTGTGCACAGATGGTGCAAATGCCATGGTAGGTCATGTTTCTGGCTATTACACACAGAAGTACAAGGACTGTCACGAAGTAAAGTGTTGTCCCATTTATTTGATCTTCAAATTGAAGTTTCTTCATGTTTGAATGATGAAACCATTTGCTAGCAGATAATTTGAATGATCAGGAATGGTTGTGCAAATTATATTATTTGGCAGGCATTTTTTATGAATGAATTCAGCACATCCATGCAAGGGGAACGGAAGACAATATTCAATGCTAATGACAAAGTTGCTGCGCTAAGAAAAAGATACATGGAAATAGTCGAAAATAAGGATCTGACATGTTTCTCATTGACTTCAAATCTTTTAGAATAAAATAACATAACAATGAATAAAAGACTGCGTTTTATGGATTTTAATTTTATTACTGTATTTTTATATGCGTGGGCGATTGTGTGGACAATTATATGTGTAGGCGATTGTAATGTTATGCTTTTATTGTTTTCAGTTCTATGTATTGTTTATTTTATGTGCAGTACTTTGGAGTACTTGCAAGCCGCCCCGAGTCCCTTCAGGGAGATGGTGGTGGGGTAATCATAATCATCATCATCATTGCCAGCAATAATAAAAGGACACCTTAACAATTAGCTTCAAAATTTGAATTCATACTTTCTAAGGGACACTCAGGAATTGATTCGAAAGAATTCTGAGTGGATTATAGATTCATTTTCAGTGACGTCAAAGCCTTAAAAGACATGTTTTCAGACAGCCACTATCAGGCATCATTTAAAAGGAAACCACTCCCCAAATTTTGGGTTCAGTTAGGGGAGGATCTTTTGATATTAAGTTAAATTGCTTTTACTGCTTTTTGGATCTACACACCTCTGTGAAACAGCTTTTTTGAGGTACATGGCTACAAAAACGAATTATCGAGCTCATTTGGACGCAGAAGATGATATGTGTCTTCAACTGACTTCTGTGACATTGAACACTGACAAACTTTGCTGCAAGAAGCAGGCACATTGTTCACATTAACTTTGGGTGTACATGTAACATTCTAACATTTTTCAAATATCCTAACTAGTTGCTATATTATTTTGTAGATTTAAATAATGAATAATATCATCGCCAGTTCTTTTTTTTTTTTACTATTGTTTCCTTTATTAATATATACACCTTATTATTCATACTTCTGGATACGTATCATTTGCAATATGCCTCATAGAACACAGACAGATGGGACTCAACACTAAACATTTCTTGGGGCTCCACAATAAACTTTTGCTTCAAAAAGGGCTCTGGCTAAAATGTTTGGGAACCCCGAGCTAGGCAAACGTAGCAGATGTCTACCTCTCACCACTAAGCTTCCTTTGGCCATCTAAAAAATGGAACTCTTAATCCTTTCTGGTTGTCGGAGTTGTCAGGAGAATCTCCTAAATTATTATTCAGCCCAGATTTTATTGGGCCCTCAACATGGAGTGTATCTACACAGTAGAATCAATGCAGTTAAACCCCACTTTAACCACCATGGCTTAGTATTATGGAATCACAGGAATTGTAGTTTTAAAGATCTTTGGCCTTTTCTGCCAAAGGGTCCTGAGGCCTCACTGAACTACAACTACCAGGATTCCATCACATTGATCCACGGCAGTTAAAGTGGGGTCAAAGTGCTTTAATCTGACTGTGTGGATTCACCCATGGTTAGTTGGCTGTTTGTAATTTGGGGACCGGCTGTATAGTGATGGAGAAACAGAGTGGCTTTTCTGTATGTAACACCTGCAAATCCAGCTGTGCCCATCAGGCGTCGCTATCAAATTACTGAAATGCAGAGAGCAAAATGAATGAAAGGATCTACTGTTCTCCACAAAACCTACTGGGAAAAGAAAAATGATCCAAAGCAGACGCTTGCAGACAGAAAACCAGTGTGGCGGTGTGGATATAAGTTTCAGAATCGAAGCAGCGGAGTAAGTGCAGGGGCCAAAATGACTACAGGTTTTTGGCATTTGACTGCATGTGCATCTACACTGTAGAATTAATGCAGATTGATACCATTTTAACTGCTCTGGATCAATGCTATGGAATCCTGGGAGTTGTGGTTTGGTGAGGCACCAGCACGCTTTGGCAGAGAAGGCAAAAGCTCTTGTAAAGCCACAACTCATGATACCCTAGCAGACATGGCAGTGAAAGTGCTGTCACTGAATTAATTCTACAGTGTAGACACACCCAATATTAAGACTGAACCCCAATTAAAAATTATTTATTTATTTACAACACTAGCCGTCCCCTGCCGCGCGTTGCTGTGGCCCACTTGGGGGTTTTGTGTGGGAGGTTTGGCCCAATTCTATCGTTTGTGGGGTTCAGAATGCTCTGTGATAGTAGGTGAACTATAAATCCCATCAACTACAACTCCCAAATGTCAAGATTCTATTTTCCCCAAACTTCACCAATGTTCATATTTGGGCACATTGAGTATTTGTGTAGAGTTTGGTCCAGATCCATCATTGTTTGAGTCCACAGAGATCTCTGGATGTAGGTGAACAACAACTCCAAAACCAAAGGACACTGCCCACCAAAGCCTTCCAGTATTTTCTGTTGGTCATGGGAGAACTGTGTGCCAAGTTTGGTTCAATTCCATCGTTGGTGTAGTTCAGAATGCTCTTTGTAGGTGAAATATAAATCCCAGCAACTACAACTCCCAGATGACAAAATCAATTTTTTTTTTTAGTGAAAGACATACATTGGGTTGTTATGTGTCTTGTGTCCAAATTTGGTGTCAATTCGTCCAGAGGTTTTTAAGTTCTGTGAACACCACAAACGAACATTACATTTTTATTTATATAGATTTATATGCCGCCCTCCTCACCCCGAAGGGGACTCAGAGTGGCTTACAAGATATATAAACATACAATATATATTATTAGCATAGTACAATATCAGTATATTACTATATTGTACAGGGTGAGGAAGCATAACTTCCTTTTTTCAAATGCACACCATTCAGTCGGTTGAAGACATAGCGGAGCGCTAGTGGTCTCGTTCAAGAGGCGGGAGTATAGTTTTGTCCTGACATAGTCAATCGCCATCATGTGTTGAAACAGCGAGGAGCGTGCTTTTGTCGTTGAGGCCTACTTTTCGAGCGGATTTGGAGTGGCCGGCCCGCTCTCCAGATTTGGCCCCTTGTGATTTTTTTCTATGGGGTTTTTGAAATCCCGTGTTTCTGTGAACCGTCCAAGGACCCTACAAGATTTGAAGACCAACATCCAGGAAGAAATTGCTAACATAGCACCTACTATGCGGGCAAGAGTTATGACAAACACCAGAAATCTGTTTACTCAGTGTATGGAGAATGGGGGACGTCACCTACCTAATTTGATCTTCAAAACTACGTAAAACAAAACTTTAGGTATTCGCCTACATTATAAAAAAATTCTGATTCAGACAATGGGTTTTATTAAATTTTGAAAAAAGGAAGTTATGCTGCCTCACCCTGTACTATACCAATATATTGTAATATTATTAGTAATATTACATGTAATATAAAATATATAATTATAATATATTACTAGTATTATATTGTATTACATTATAATATTATACATATTATATGTATATACAATACATTATATTATATTATCTCCCTTTTGGTAAAGTAAAACACTTTAACGCAGGCTACAATTGACAACTTTCACCTATACAACCCCTGAATGTCCCTCCAAATAGGATTGCTAAACCTACACAAAAGCAACCCCAAACCCTGGCGGCGATCACCGATGCTGCTCTCGGCTATTTCCGGAAGGACTTCGGGGAACTCCGCTGTGCTCCTGGCTGCCTCAGTTCGCATTCAGCCAGACGCGGGGCGGGGGAGAGAATAGGTGAGAGCGATTGTTCCTCGGCGTTCTATGATTGGTCGGCTGCAGTTTCTGGCGCACCAGGATTGGCTCGGCTTCAGCAACGTTAGCGATTGGCTCGCCGTGGCCATAGTTTGGTCCAAAGCGTCCTCTTTCGCGTAATTTGATTGGCCGCTCCAAACGCCGAGGCCGCAGCGAAGAAGGCGAAAGGCTTCAGCGGCTAGAGCGGTTCCGTTGTTCTCGAGCGGTGCTTGGGGAAAGTGGGACGGGGAGAGAAAGAAAGAAAGGAACTCTTGACTCCTATTGGCCGGCGTTCTTCCTAGCCGTGTCCCTATTGGTTGGAGGAGACGGGGCTCGCGCACCCTTCGCTGGTTCTCTCGCGCGCTGGTGGGCGGGGCCGCGTTTCTTCGACTGGAGCTTTGAGGCGGCTGCGGGCCTGAGGTAAAGCGGAGGCGGTTGTTTGAGGATGGGGTCCGCCTGGAGGGGTGCCTGAGGGAGTCGAGGCGGTTGGGTGAGTGAAGGGGAGGCGAAGGAGAGCGGGGAAAAGGCGGTAGAAACCGTGAGGGGAAAAATAAAAAGGAGGCGTGATGGAGAAGGCGAGGAACAGGAGTGAGGACTGAGGGGCTCAGCGAGGGAAGATATGGGGGGGGGCTGCG